AGGATGGGAAAAAGAGAGGAATAAGAATTACCATAACGAACTTTAAAGGGTCTGTTTTANCCATAACGAACTTTAAAGGTTCTGTTTTCTAGGTACGAGCGAATAAGAAGGTATAGGGGAGCAGGGAGGAATGATTTAATTTTATAGAGTAGGCCAGGATGCCAAACCCTATCAAAGGCCTGAGCCACATCGAGAATGACTCCCGGACAATATTCTTTATTTTCAAAGGATGATGATATTAAATCGACTAACCTGTGTATTTGTTGTATAGTGGAATAAGTTAATAAGNGTTGGGTATTACTTTATGAGATTCTAAGATTGGTCTTAATCTTTTCAAAATGATTTTCTCAAATAGCTTACCAAGCACTGGAAACAGACTAATTGGTCTATATGAGGTTGCTATATTGGGGGGTTTGCTCGGTTTGAGAATAAGAATAATAATGAACTGTTTCCAAATGGTAGGGAAATACGAGAATCTTAACATGGAGTTAAATATGAAAGTTATTAAAATAATTGTTTCTTTAGGGAGATGTTTTAAAATCTTATTTGTTATCAAGTCATGTCCAGGTGATTTATTGGACTTTAATTTTTGAATCACATTTACAATTTTATTTAAAGAGACATGTTTAGTAGGGAGAGATATAGGTAGTGGAGAATCTAAAAAATTATTTATTTTGATTAATTGAGAATTGCTAGGAATAATATCAAGGTGAGGTGTGAAAATATTCGAAAGGTGTTCTCCAAAAAGATTAGATTTGTCAAGATCAGATAAGGCAAGCGAACCATCTATTTTTTTAAAAGGACAGGAAAAATCTTTCAGTTTATGCATATTTTTAGTGGTTTTCCATAATGAACCGTCCTGAGAATTGAGGGATTTGAATTTCGTGTCAAAGAGGTTGTTTTTTTTTTTGAATTATTTTTTTTAAGGAATTAGATAGATTATTGAAAGTAGACTTGTCTGAGGGAAGTCTAGTTCTTTGCCAACGGTCGCGGGCCCTACGTTTTTCAGCAATTAGTATTTTTATATTGGAAGGTAAAAGAAAAGATTTTAATTTTGAATAGGAATTTTGAGTAGAATCATAAGAACATTCATGTACAGCTGATTGAATTGAGCTGACTAATTGTTGGGCTGCGGAGTCAATTTCTTTGCAAGACTTTAGAGGGATATTTAAGATTGTACTATTTTCTAAGGTCGAGGAAAATTTATTCCAATTTACAGGTCCTTTGGAAAGGGAGGGACGAGGAGGAGCTTGTGTTGGAAATTCTTCAATCTTTAACAAAACGGATGAAAATCTTATCACGCGTTACTCGTTATATATTTTGATTCACTATTTTTATATTTTTTTGCTTTTTTATAAGTAAAACAGTCACGTTTCCAATAACCTTCACGTTTACAGAAGTTATACTTTCCAGGTTTTTATTTTTGTTAAAATTCTCACGATTTCTAATATACGAAAATTGTTTTTTCTATACTCTTTATACTACAAGTGTACAATTTTCAGTTGATTCATTCTGAGAACTAATTCCTTGCATTAATCTAGCTTCTTCTATCATGAATAATGATGTCAAATTCTCAAATGTTTTGTTTGCATCTAGCATTGAATCCCATGTGCTGTAAAAATGTTATACGTAATTTCGTCATTAGCATTGACTCAAATATTCGTTTACCTGACTGTCTTAATTGTATGCTCAAATTTTTAAATTTTTTTCGATGCGAAGCTGACAAGGTATTGGTTTTACTAAGATGTGTTTATTATTTTTTTTTTTTTTGTGTCTGTTACCAATTTTTCTCAGCTCTCACCGAACGGATTTCTTTCAACGATACATCAAAAGATCACAAATCGTATCTAGTCGAAGACATTACCCTTAAAAATTGAAAAAAAATCCCTCGTTCCCCGTAAATGGCGGAAACTTCCAACAAAATTACAAATTTAAAAATCGCTAATTTTCGAAATTTTTTCAATTTTTTTTACTTAAAATTGCCATAACTTTTTTAACAATAACGAAATCAATATAATTTTTTTATAGATGCATGATGTATTTACCTATCATTTGGTATATTTTTTTATAAATTTGACCCTTTATCTGCCCACAGGGGGGGTTTTTAAATGATAACTTTTTCAACTTAACTTTTGAAAATGTTCAGGAAGGTCTGACACTTTTATATATATATTAAATAAAAGCTAATGTAATGTTCTTTAATTTGAAAAAAAAAATTTGACCTCTGGACTTGTCTTGATGGTGAAAACGCCTACCCAATGCTTTTTTTGTGTGAAAATTCTCGATTTTATAATTTACATTTTTTACTTTAAAGTGCTATAACTTTTTGAAAAATATATGGATCAACACAGTTTTTTTATGAGATATAATATTTTTATATAATCCCTTTTTCATTCAGGATATTAATAAAGAAATAGTAGATCATGTAGCTTTTGGAATAATACACCAATTTTTTTAAATTAAACACTATCTAAAGATTTGCATCGAAGCGTTTTTTTTTTTTATAGTGATTTTAATCACTGTCAGATATCATTATACTTGATCCAACTATGCCACGTCACCACCACTGTGCCGCGACCCCCCTGTGCTGTGTTTTTAGTTTTATAGTATATGACATAAGCTTTAATTTATATATATGTTTAAAGGACGCAGTAGTTCCAGAACATTTTCAAAAATAAGTTTAATAAGTTAGTTTTTATAAAAAATTTGCTATTTAAATCCCCCCCATGAGCAGGTTAAGTGTTAGATTTTCAAAAAAATGATATCAAAAGGAAAATATTTAAGGTTTTAATATAAAAAAATTAGGTTGATTTGATAATTTTTGAAAAAATTATGGTAGTTTTAAAAAATGAAAATAATGACAAAATTTACCGATTTTAAAAAATTGTAATTTTTTTGGAAATTTTTCCCATTTACGAGGAATTTTTTTTTCAATTTTTAAGTATAATGTCTTTATTTAGACACGATTTGTGATCTTTTAACGAATCGTTAAAACACACAACAAAATATAATAAACACATCGTGGTAAAATTAATACCTTCTCAGCTTTCGATTCGAAGCTAAAATATGAAAGGGATGAAATTGGGTAAAATGATAAAATAATATAAATAAAAAAAGAGATTTTAGAAAGGCGAGTAAACGGAGGATGAACTTATAAGGGCAACGGTCAAATAAATAAAGTAAACATAAACGTTTATGACAAAATAGTAGATTGATCTCGGGAATTAAACAATATTGAATACATAATGTGAATTATCCCTGCAAAGTTCTATTATTTATCTGAATGGTTTATCACGCAATAGATTTGTTTGTGATTTGAAAATATGAATAAAACTTGCATTTACCTTATATCCTATGTCTTATGTCCTATATTCAAAATATCCCTAAATAATCCAACGTTGATTCTATATTTCACACAAAGCGTTGTACAGTTAGTTCTAACTATTTAGAAAAACTATTTAATTTTAAATAATACGATCTCGTCACTCAAAATCAATCACTGATTTTTACGTGTAAAAGATACTAATCACTCTATATTTTTATTATAAATGTAACTTTATTAATTAATAATGTATCTTTATTTCATTTTTGTTGAATAAATATATTTTTGAAAGAGTAAATTTTATTGAGAGATCGACAACAATATATTTTAACGCTTCATTTGGTCTGGCCAAAAAAGATTCAAAAATATTTATTTCTATGTAAACATTTTATTAAAGCAGTATTGTAGTACCCCAATGTGTCCCAACGTTGACGTCTTGAAAGGTCTCGGTACAAAATCATCAAGACAAAAGTTAAACTCTAATACAAATGCTCTAAAAATTCTATGTGCTATCTAACAGCGCAATGTTGTTTATAACAAAGAAATTCAGATTTAAGACTAGTTACTTAGTATGAAAAGCTCACGATTAATATTTACCGTTAAATGAATATATAAATTTAGATTGGGTTTATTATAAAAATAAAATAATTTTAAAACGACTAAGGTTTAAGATGTTAATTGACATTTATTTTCGTGATGAGAAAAATAAAATAGTATTATTTAATGAACAAGTAATCTTAAAATAAAAGATTCACCAAAACAAAATTCACTTTAAAATTACTATAAATTCTGTTTAGTTTGAAAATAACTGATTTTAAATGGTTTTTCTAGTCAGAGGAGAGTAGTATCAGGAGATCGCTCTCTTGCCTGATTTTGGGAGCTGGAGATCTTAATAATTTGTTAAATGTGATTGACTGGGCTTAATATAGAATCTATATATAGGCGTTACTTTACCATAATAAGATTTTATTCCTTAGTTAACTGGTTATATTGTGTTTTAAAGAAGGGAACTCTGTTTTGGTGATCTTGTAAATTAATACTACGTGACATTCATGTACAAATGACAACACCATATTATATGCTAACATTATAAGTTTTAAAATAATGACAAAATAATATAAAAAACCAAACAAAAAAATTATTTATATTTGCATCATTTTAATCATCTATATTAACCAAATGAAAGGTAAAGACATCATGCATTTTAAATTCCTCATCTCATGTAACCTCATTTAAATTATCTCATGTATCATTAAAATAAAAATTATGTTGATTTGGTCATTTTTAAAAAAAGTTATGGCAGTTTAAAGTAAAAAATAATGAAAAAATGTCGAAAATTAGCGAATTGTAAATTTGTAATTTTTTTGGAAATTTCCACCATTTATGTGGAACGAGGAAAATTTTTCTATTTTTAAGGTTAACGTCTTCGACTAGATAAGATTTATGATCTTTTGACGTATCGTTGAAAGAAAGCGGTTCGATGAGAATTGAGGAAATCGAAGCTAATAAAAATTGCTTTATTTATTCATAGAAATTTTACAACGCTTATATGAATTTTTGAATCATCAACTAATATTTTATTTGTGTGATAAAACATAGCAAATAAAATTAATCAATTTTATGAATGATTTTCATTTCTTTAAAGATAAACTTTAAATACTACTTAAATTTCGGAGTACAATATCATTTTAAACTTTATTAAATTATGTAAGCTACATTGAACATATTATATAATAATTGTTAAACTCATTAAATACGATAAAATTTTCATTAAAATTTCAAAAGGAAATTAAGAAATTTGTAAATAAATTTTAACATGTCTAAAAGTGTTGATTTTGAAGCCACTTGGTTAGAAATAATAGCCGAGTTAAGTAGCAATTCTTTTTGTGTTCGCTGAAGCATTATTATTACCATTTTTTTGTTTTCATTAGATAAATTGTAATATTCCTCGCTATATAGATTAAATGCAATGCTTTTATGCTACAAAAATAGAAATAATTAAATATTTTGATGATAAAATAAAATATTTTTTTTTATAATAAATTTTAAAAGTAAATAAAAATAAAAATAATTGTGTTATAAGATAATAAATTATCGTATAAAAAAAGTTTTTAATTTTGTTTAAACTTTTTTAATGAAATTTTTTTATTCAAATTCAGAACGCATTGAAAGATTAAATATTTATGCATATACCATAGAAATGATGTCATCTCCATAATCGCATTGAAAAATATATATGATGAGCCAATAAGATAATATTGCACCACATTTTAATACATAGCCAGTAGAAGCATCAACCTAGTAGAAAATAATAAAAATTAATTAATCATTAATACGCTTTCTGAGAATTAATCTATTGTATCTATTGTTTATGTTAAAAAACAATGGATACAAATGGAAATCATATTCTATCCAAACCTTAATCATGCAGAATATAATAATGGAAAATATAAATTGTGCACTAACAATTTCCCCGAAAAGTATGTATTTAAAGTATACTTTGAATTCGTCTAATGACCTAAAATAAATCAATTTACAGAACTTATATATAATATCGTATAATATAATGCGAATTAACACTGATAAAATTTTAAATATTTAATGTAATGTCATATAATACTTTTTATAATATTTACTTAAGAATTTCTTGATGTTGGCATACACATTCAATGAAATATTCTTGAAATGTTTTATTTTCTTTAAAACAAAATGTTCTTTGCAATCCAACTTCGATCAACTTAAATTGATGTTTGATTTCGGATAAATAAATTACCAGGTATAAATTATATAGAAAAGTAGAGAATGATAAATAAAAACTGGATATGACTTGTAGACTGTATAAAATATAATAATAGATGTAACTATCGCCCACATTAAAAATCTGAAAGATTTTTTCACAATTTTCAGTCAATTGTCAACGTTATAATGAAAATACTTTGTATTAAAAATATATAATTTTGTGACTATTTTTTACATTAATATCATAATCAAACTTAGATACAATAGAATTAATTTTTAATGCTTAAGATCTTTTTTGGTATAACAGTTATATTTTCTTGTCTTTAATTTATTTTGAGATGATTTCATCAATTATTTCTTGATAGTCATATCGAATCCTACGATCATGAGATCAGTATTAGGGGACTCGGAAATTTAATGTGTACTGGGTCACGCAAAAGTTTTACCTTTGGGGTGCTTCGTGCCATATTTTTCGTATATTGAGCGCTCGACGCTTTTATCACAATAATTCTAGTACTTTTCGTTCAATATTGTTTTAAGCTTATTTTAAAAATTATTTTGAAATTTTTATTTCAATGTGCTTTAAAAGCGTGTTTTTTAGTTTTTTTAAACTATATTTATAAAATTGATAACATCTGGTTTTTGACTAACGTTGTTTGCCGTATCAGGGTTTTTGACTAACACGGTAAAATTAAAAAAAAAAAAATAAGAAACGCAAAATACTTGCTAGATTAAAAGTTATAAAAGATTTTAAAACCTAGTAGGAAATTCTGTACAAGGCCGTTGAATTTTATTGTATTTCAGTTTGTTCATGCCTCTATTCTGTACTTTGTAATAAAATATTATTTGTCAATTGCGTATATCTTTTTTCAAAATACTGATCGTTTTATGAGTAGTCTTATAGATGTTGGGCTGATTATTAAGTCGGATTAGTGTTCTTATATAATATTTTTAGGGAAATTTTTAGAGCTAATAATTGTCAACATAATAATATGGAAATTATTTTCATATTAAATTATTTAGTAATTTCAAAAAAAATTACTTACTTTTGGCCAATAAACAATCCAATGAGAATGATGATCAATTGGAAGGTTATCTTGATCATATTTAAGTGCTAATAATGGTCCAGTGAAAAATGTAGCAATCACAATCAGGTATGTTATAATTACGATATAAATAACTTTTGTATTTCTATTGTAAGATATATTAGGATCAACTTTTCTAATTAATGACCATTTTATAAACGTGTTTTGTATTGAAGTATATGTAAAAGTAATTTTTTTTTTTTGTATTAACAGCATTAATATTATCAATGATTGCACTAATCCTATTATAATATATACCAAAAGTTCCAAAATCATACCAATGGATATGTTAACCTCAGTCAAAAGAATCGTTGCTGACCCTAAAGATACCTGAAATACACATTATAATATTTCAATGTTAATGTATTTGTAATATTTCCATTTCTATAGATCATTGTATTACTAGATTTTTATTAAGTAAATACAAGCAGCGCTGTCGATTTATTATTTATATATATTATTTTCTTCTTTTAATTAATTTTAGTAAGGAGTGCGGTCGTCCCGTGGCCTAACCCACAAGTCGCCACTAGATTCTCCAACACAAATAAACTAGTGTATTTATCACGTACATTATGATATTTTACATCTATCTTTTACTGTACCCTCTTATGAAACTCTGAGTTCTTTACTAATCTTATTGCGCTTTGGTTATCCACATACATAATAGATGTACTTCCCTGTGTTTCAAGAAGGTCACTTATTAAGAGCAACAACCATGAATATTTTTGCACTTTCTGACTAAATACTTTATATTTTGACTCGGTCATTGATAGTGCTACTGAATTTTACCTTCGTGAACCCCAAGCAATTATTCTATAATCAATCATTAATATAGCACCTGATGTTGATATTCTTGTGACTATATCTCCAGCGTAATCTTCAATACTCTATCCTACAAATTCAAGTATAGCACTGTATTTACTGGTTCCATCTTCATATTCTTCAGGTTGAGACATGTTTATTTCATTTTCTAGATGTCCGAACAAAAAAGAAACTGTTTTTTGTCAAACTATCTAAGCTTTAATCGTTTTGGTGAAGCGATCGTTAATATAAGTCATACTGAATCCAACTTAACAATTGGGCTAATGTCTTTTAAAAGTCTATCACGTAGACTTGTGCAAAACCTTTTAAAAGTCTATTTTTATACCTGTCAAATTCACCATTTGCATTGTAATTAGTACGTAATCCAACAGTATTAATTGCTTTTTTGTTCTCTGGTAAATTTATTATTAGGTATTATTTTTCTCAACGATAATATTTCTTCTTCCATTGCTTTTCTTCAACTTTTCGAGCTGTCCATTGACTTTGCATCTTCATACGCTGTTGGATCATCAAATTTCGAATAATATGTTTCTACTATGTATCTGAGTGGTTTTCTTAGATTTTGTCTACCTCTCAATTTCATTTTTATATGTTTATTCTATTGATTAGGTTTTCTATATCACTTTGTTCTTGAACATTCTCTTCAACAAAATTATTTTTCTCTTGAATATGTTCTTCGTCATTTATTTCTATTTTACTAACTTTTTGTTGCGTAATTGTATCTTCTTTAAACAATTTCAATTTTTCTTTTACCGCTGATTTATTTAACAAAAAATATACGTAAAGATAATTTGTATACTTGTCTATGAATAATACAAAATAACGTTTACCACCTAATGAATTTTGCTCCACTGGTCCACATATATTGCTATGTATAATTTCGCCTAGTGTTGTTGTTTTTGTTTTACTCAATGAAAGCGGTTCTATGTGTTGTTTCCCATAAATTCACACTTCGCAAAATTCTTTCTTGCCTACGGCATCAATTAGAATTTGCATACGAATCAAATAATTTCGTACGTTTTGAAAATTTTGATGTGTCAGTAGCTGATGCCAATTTTGCAATGTTTTAAACATTTTTACTATTTTGGCTTATTGATATTCTGTTATGGTAGCACTTTTAATATCATTACAAACAACTTATTACCAGGCACATCTTTTGCTAGAATTTTACCATTTTTAATAAATTTATACATTTTTATATCGAACATAATTTTCATACGCCAAACAAGTAAATTAACATTTAACTTTGGAACGTATTGAATATCTGACAAATATTTTCTTGTCCATTTACCATTTGCAAAAACAAGTACAAATATATTATCTTTATCATACGCTGTAATTGTAGTTCCGTCTACAGTACACACTTTCACATTAGTTTGAAGTGTTTGATCATCATGAAACGTTTCTACGTTTGATCTCTTTTAAATTTGTTTTTTATTAACTTTAAATACGAAAATACAACGCAAATTGTTTAAATAATCGATTTGTTATGTTTTATTTAAAAAAAAAAAGATGAATATATATATATTAAACAGCTAACTATCATATCAGTCTTACTTTAGGAATTATTTAATTTAAGGTGAAAGTAGAAGTATAACCCTTTGTATCACGGTTGATAACACGGAGGTTACGATCACCGTTGAAGATTATATATAATAAATATTAAGATGTAAGGAAAAATAAAGAAACTTACTCAATGGAACGGTGAATGGATGAAAACTAGTCGGTAATTAATATTGCAATCACTAGTAAAACTTTAACGCAGTTATTAAATAACATAAAGAAAAAACTAATAGAAGAATTATTAGAATAATTGTACAAGTAGTGACGGTATACTTCATACTACCCGTCACCACCTGAGTAGTGTAGAACAATCGCCCACTGATAATTTATTTTTTAATAGCCTCCAATGAATAAATGCGTATTCTAATTTCCCATTTTAGTTTCGAGTTCCCGTTAGGACTGATATGTAACATATAATAATTTACTAACGTTATGATAAATATAATAAAAATAAAAAAATACATTAATTTATATTCTTTTGAATAAAAGTTATCAAACAAGGCTGTCCAGCGGACTTTCATGCAACTGATAAAGAGTACTAAAGCTGTAGCGTAACGCTACAATCATTTACATAATTTTGATCATCATCATCATCATCATTTTTCATCAAGTGTTTGAAATTTACAAACCGTTCAATAAGTCTAAACATATGGTCACTGGAAAGGAAACCATATATCATTTATTGATTTCATTTTTTTGTTCAATAACTGTTGAAAATCTTATCACGCGTTACTCGTTATATATTTTGATTCACTATTTTTATATTTCTTTTTTGTTTTTTTATAAGTAAAACAGTCACGTTTCCAATAACCTTCACGTTTACAGAAGTTATACTTTCCAGGTTTTTATTTTTGTTAAAATTCTCACGATTTCTAATATACGAAAATTGTTTTTTCTGTACTCTTTATACTACAAGTGTACAATTTTCAGTTGATTCATTCTGAGAACTAATTCCTTGCATTAATCTAGCTTCTTCTATCATGAATAATGATGTCAAATTCTCAAATGTTTTGTTTGCATCTAGCATTGAATCCCATGTGCTGTAAAAATGTTATACGTAATTTCGTCATTAGCATTGACTCAAATATTCGTTTACCTGACTGTCTTAATTGTATGCTCAAATTTTTAAATTTTTTTCGATGCGAAGCTGACAAGGTATTGGTTTTACTAAGATGTGTTTATTATTTTTTTTTTTTTGTGTCTGTTACCAATTTTTCTCAGCTCTCACCGAACGGATTTCTTTCAACGATACATCAAAAGATCACAAATCGTATCTAGTCGAAGACATTACCCTTAAAAATTGAAAAAAAATCCCTCGTTCCCCGTAAATGGCGGAAACTTCCAACAAAAATACAAATTTAAAAATCGCTAATTTTCGAAATTTTTTCAATTTTTTTTACTTAAAATTGCCATTACTTTTTTAACAATAACGAAATCAATATAATTTTTTTATAGATGCATGATGTATTTACCTATCATTTGGTATATTTTTTTATAAATTTGACCCTTTATCTGCCCACAGGGGGGGTTTTTAAATGATAACTTTTTCACAAAAAATTAACTATTTCAACTTAACTTTTGAAAATGTTCAGGAAGGTCTGACACTTTTATATATATCTTAAATTAAAGCTAATGTAATATACTTTATAATGGTAAAAAAAAATTTCGGACTTTATTTTATCTTCACGGTGAAAATGGCTACCGAATGCTATTTTTGTATGAACATTTTTAAATTTATTATGCTATAACTTTTTGAAAAATGTATGGATCTATACAATTTTTTCATGAGAAGTAGTATTTCTATACACCTTTCATTCGACATACTGTTTTTATAAATCGTACCATTTTCCTATATACGAGGGGGTTGCAAATCTAAAAAATGCATGTAGAAAGTAGAACTTTTTCAACTTAACTTTTGAAAGTGTTCCGAAAAGTCTGACACTTTTATATATATCTTAAATTAAATATAATGTAATATACTTTATTATGGTTAAAAAAAATTTTGGACTTTATTTTATCTTCATGGTGAAAACAGACATCAAAGTTAATAAAAAAAAATACGATTTTTGTAAAAAAATTCTTTTTTATATTTTTAACTTTATAATGCTATAACTTTTTGAAAGATGTATGGATCAATATAATTATTTTTTTTATAGATGCATGATGTCTTTATCTATCATTTGGTATATTTTTTTTATAAATCTTACTTTTTACCTGCCTACAGGGGGGGATTCAAAATGACAACTTTTTCACAAAAAATTTACTTTTACAACTTAAATTTTAAAAGTGTTTCGGAAAGTCTGACACTTTTATATATATTTTAAATTAAAGCTAATGAAATGTACTTTATTATGCAAAAAAAAAATTTCGGACTTTATTTTGTCTTCACGGTGAAAATAGTCACTGTATTCAACTAGCAGATCATGTAGCTTTTGGAATAATCTTATTTGTATTTATTTACATATTTGTAGAATCTTTTTTGCAACAAAGAAATATTGATTGCTGACTTCTGCTCGTTTATACAAAGCAATTGGTACCACATTTCTCTTGGCGTATTACAATTCATTTTACACAGTAACGAGTGCTCATACACCGACGTTACGATATATTTCTGAGCTTTTTCGATCATCATCCTCTGTCTCATTGCTTCGTCTTGCTAGACTTGGTTTCTTACTTTATCAGAAGTTACATCAAATATTTTACATGAAGTCGTTATGACATTCATCTGAAATTTCCTTTGTTGCCAGTCAGATGCGTCAATTAGTTTGCATATTTTATAGTTTCACTATCCATTTAGATAAATAATTTCCTGTACACTTTCTAAAATAAATAAAATTTTGCCAAACAATATTTAAATATTAATATCTGCACTTGAAAACACAATCACACAATGCACTTACTATAAACCGTATTTTTTGGAATAATCATTTAAAAAACATTGTTTTTATATCAAATGTCAGAGCCCATAACCTATTGAAAGGAAGGAGCAAATATAATATTTAACTACAGTTTAAACAAAAGTATTATAACAATTAAATTCATTAAAATTAAAATAAACAAAATATATAATATAAGACAGTAATAACGATGCAACGGAAAAGAAAACTGACGATCACGTAAGAGTCAAAATAAAACAATTCACATAGCAACCTGCTATTTTGAAATACTACATCAGCATAAATTATAAATATTTTACTTAGCAGTAAAATAAATAATTACACTTAATTTTAATTATTACATCTATCAATTTTTTATTTTTATATATTTTTTAAAGAAATTTTAAAGTATAACAAAAGAACAAAAGGATAGAAAATTTAATGAAGTATAAACGCTTGTGTAAAGAAGAAAATGTGTGGTAAATAAGAAGTTTAAAAGGTATCATGAGTTGTATGATAGACTAAGAACAAAGGAAGATAAAAAGAAGTCCATATATTTGCAAAAGTAAGAGAAAAACGGTCTAAAAATTATCACAATGTAAATTGTATAAAATGCTACGATAATGATGTAAAAAATAAGGTAAAAAAAACATTTTGAAAAATTATTGAATGAGGAGTATTCAAGAAAGAAATTAAAGGATATCTCATAGTGCGAGGACTGGTAGATTTAATTATTGAAAAAGTGGTATGGAAGTTAGTGGCATCAATAAAAAAGAATAAAGCAGTAGGACCAGCTTAAGTGTCAGTAAAAGTATGGAAAATAAAGGACAGTGTTGGCATATGATGATAGCAGGGAGGATAGGTATATACTATAGATAGGGAGGAAATTAATAAAAGGCTAAAGGTGTGGTGATCATATCTTGAAGAAAAGGTGTTTGGTAGAGATCGCCTTTAGCAAAGACCTAGTTGACCAATCGTCACAAACACTGTTGATTATATTACATCGTATGACAGCTGATATCTAACGTCTTTGCTTTACTCACCCCTTTGCTCATCCAGCATGGCAAATCGATGGTCTTCGTGTCAATTGTCATCCGTGTACAGTTCACCATCTTAAGTCAGTGAGTCATTTGTTTTATGTGTCATTGTTTTTTGTAGCAAGCGCCTGCGTTTGAATGGCAAATTTTTTGGCCATTGTACGCCACTATTTTTATTATTTTTTTATTGCATCCTTGTGCCAAAATTCTCGTGCCTTTGCACGTCATCAGTATTTGGGCCCTGATCATCACTAAATCACTTTATTGCCGTAGGCGCTTTTTCGACGATTGTTGTCATCTACCATTACATGCCTGAATCTTCACTTTGACTCGTGATACTCAAATGTTCGACACCATTACCACAAGATCTCATACAGTCCACTCATCACTATCAACAACTTCATCTATTCAACTGAGTTATTATATTATTTTTTAATTTTATTAATTAATTGTTTAATTGAGTTTAATTATTTTGTTTTATGCCGCTTTGCCAGCTATAAGAATTTAAGACCCCCGTAACCCCTTAAATATAAGATATTCTTTGAAGAATTTCTACTATATGTGGTTATTTGTTATTTAATAATTGTCTACTCTCGTTATTTATTGGATGTGCGGTTAGCCGTCTTCCAACCAGGTAACCTCTCTCCCGCTTCAATAATAGCGATTTAAACAGGCATAAGGTAAAACGGCATTCTAGTGTGGTACACAACTAGTCGTCCTACGGTCTAGCTGTTTTGTATGAAACAAAAAAAGAGATTAAGAATAAGTAGGAATAACACAGCGTGTATAGGGTACGAGTTTGAGAAAGGAGAATACAAGGTAGATAAAATCGGAGATCAGTGCCAATAAGGTCAAAATTCTATTGTTCTAACATAGATTCATTGAATAATAAAATTTTAACCATTTACCTATTATTTAAATTGAATCTGTTTGACGCAAAAGGGACTATGTATAACAGACGACCATAATAAACAATAAATTTGATGGGAATTTAAAAAATTGCACTACATTTTTATTTTAAATAATTCGCCAAAACTATACATCAGTTAAATTAATAAATTAAAAAAAAAATTCACAATTGCATACTTGTTAAATCTAATGAATTAACGTAATTTAAACAACAATACTATAATTTTCGAAAATAAAGGGCGAGCTACATATATTTTATATTACAATTTAATTAAACCTATTTATTTTAATAATTATATTAATTAAAATAAAAAGTATACATAATTAAATGAGGAGATCAATGACAATAAGCGAGGACGTGGAAGGAGAGATGTTAGGTTTTAAGTATTTAGGATTAGTTATGCAAAAGAATAGTGGTATTGACGAGGATATAAAACACAGGATTAAGAACAAGTGGGTGAAGTGGAAAAAACGTCATGTTTGTTATGCGATAAGAGAATTACAATGACTCTAAAAGGTAAATTCTATAAGACTATAGTGAGACCCGGTATTATCCATGGTTCAAAATATTAGGCGATTGACAAAAGAATAGAGCAAAGAATGAGTGCTATACAGAAGATAATGCATAGAAAGATGAGTGAAGTGACTAGAGAAGAAAGGTTCAGGAACAAACATATATCAGGAAGTTTAGGTGTAAATTCAATCGTGGATAAGATGAAAGAAAATAGATTTAGATGGTTTGGCCATATTATGAGGAAAGAGGAATTGTAAGCTGTAAGAGCAAATATGAAAATTAATTTTAAAGAAAGAAAAGGTAAAGGAAGACCAAAATTATATGTAGGAATGTTATTGAATGGGATATGAGGACGGCTGATGTAGACGTAGATGATTGTGTCAAGTGAATATAGAAAGAGGCAACCGCAAGTAGTTGGGTTAAAGACAAGAAAAATAAGAAGACTAAATTTTAATTTTAATTTCAATACATTGACGAAATAATACTTAACAGTATTATTTTGTTTACTAAATTAATACTGTTTGTTATACTTACTAAAAACCAGTTGAAACTACCAAAATACGATATGTGACGAACGAAATCGTTATACTGACAATTAGTATTTATAGCAAATGCAGAAGATACAATTAGATTATAAATCCATCGTTGAGCACCAATAGAATTAATTCGTGTAGTATTTGTAGTCATCACGTTCCAAATCAAATGTTAATTTTACATAGTCTTAATTACAGTATTGAATATCTATCTAATAAAACAAATTATTAAAATATAATGTAATTATATTACATTTGAAACCTTAGGTAATTTTCTTTCATTTGATATCATTTTTTTTTGAAAATCTAACACTTATTCTGCTCACAGGGGGATTTAAAATAGCAACTTTTTTACAAAAACTAACTTTTTCAACTTAACTTTTGAAAATGTTCCAGAAATACTGCGTTCTTTCAACATATATAAAATTAAAGCTTATGTCATATACTGAAAAATTTAAAAAAAAAATTTGTCCCGAAGACCTATCTTCTATGCGCAAATGGCTACCGTATTTAAAAATATGCTATTTTTATGTTAAAATCCTGGGTTTTGTATTTTATTTTTTTTACTTTTTTAAAGTCGAAAAAGTAATTTTTAAATTTGAATTAGCTTAAATTGCTAATTTTATCACGCGACGAACAGTTGCCAAATGGGTAACATATGTCTCTTTCACGTTTAGGGTACGAGGTTCGAATCCGCCTGTGGCAATTACCATTTTGCATTTTTTTTTTTTTGAGTTAGAATGACATTATCAAATCATTTAATATTTATCTCATTTAGATTCAATAACTTTCAATAACAATATCAAGGATCCCATCACTTTAGTCTCCCCTCGTGAGAAGAAATTTTTTATTCATGATAATATTATTTTACTATGTGTTTTTTTTTAAGGCCGTGATTTATTTTTCCAACCCTCACTTGACCTACTTTTTTCAACTGTACATTAAATGTATATGATTTATGATTTTTAGTTTTACCTGAATTTAACAATTAATTATAAAAATTATATAATATATAAGTAAAAAAATTACTAATCTGGATATAATTAAGGAAATAGAAGTTGATGTTACTTTGTAATTATCCACCAATTTCATATAATTAAACACTATTTACAGATTTGCATCGAAGCGTTTCTTATGATAGTGATTTTAATCAACGTCAGATTAAATCTATACTGGACCCAACTATGCCACGTCCCCACTGTGCTGGGTTTTTTTATCTGCCCACATTGAATGTTACAAATAGTAACTTTTCGAAAATGTTCCAAAAGTCTGCATCCTTTAAACTTATATTAAATTAAAGTTTATGTTACATGCTATTCAAAATTATAATAATTTAACAACCGGAATTACTATTATATATCTATATAATACAGCTAAATATTATAGAGTCTGCTAAAAACAACTAAATAACTTAAATTTTCAATTATTTCATTAAAAATTATGTAATTACCAAAAAATACATATTTGTATTTTTCTAGATATTCAATTTATGAGTGACAATGTACTTTAACGATGTAGCCATATATAAAAAACAATGCCATTATAAAAACGTTTTCAATCATAATTTCTTGATTAAAAAAAGAGATTCCATAGAAATGTATTTTTGATTACACTTCACATACTTTTGCTAGTGCCTTTAAACTTAATGGTAGTATCACATGCTGTATGTTTACTGAAAACCTTTTACGACCCACTATTACCCAAGTTAAAAAAATTCGTTACAAAAGACCCTAATTTCTATAGTAATATTTTTACTATCAGTACATATAATTATTTAGTAAGCCATGTTATGGTAAAAAAATGTATAAACAAATCATTTAAAAACTTACTAAATCTAACTTACATGGTAGCATATTATATAAATAATAAGAAAAATGCTATTAGCCTCGAACTAAAAAAAAGGGAATAGGGGTGTAATGCAAATCCTGAAGTTATTTATGCCATACTTTATATTATAAAAAACTTTTTATTTTTTAGATTTTAAATGTAATAATTTTAAGATTTAGAAACTTAAAATATGCTTCATAGTTTTGTAAAGGTTTCTCCTCAATTAGCACAAATAATATAATATATTATAAAAACTGGTATTTATAATTCTTTTTTTTTTTAATTATATAAATCATTTTACCAAGAATTAATAATTATTTCTGAAACATGCTATGTGATTACATAGTTGCTATTTGAATGTTATATTTATATTTGCAAAAACGGAGGAGACCATAAGTTATTATATCCATTAGTTAATTTCAACATAATGAATATACTAACCAGATATTGAAGCCATATCACTAAAACTTTTTATACTAAAACTCAAAGAAATAATGTTACCTTAATAAGTTAAGTAATAATAATTTACCGTTGATGATTTTCGTAAACTGAGACGAAGAGTTCACAACAATTTTTTTTACTAAGTTAATAACAATAAAAGAATCTGATATTACTATTATTAGCTACATATGGAGACTTAATTAATGTGCTCGTCTATTAATTACACATATCGAAGTTATCGTTCCTAGGTGTCTGTCTTATAAGTTATTATTTACAATAACCTAATAATAACTTGTATCTATAATTTCTATGTAAAATTAAAAAAAGTAATTATATTTTCTTGAAAAAAATATTTACTATTGAAATTAATTTTAATATTTCTATCAATTATTTTTACTAATAGACTAGTCTGACATGAAAATGTATAAGATAATTATTATTTATACCATCCCAATTGTAAAATTCTATAAAACTATATAAACTATTTAACTATAAAAAACTATAATAAGTAGCTAAATTAACACGTTTTAACAATCCTCAGATTATTTTTGTCGTAAATTAAAATAGGATTGTGCATAAATTTATAAATAAATTAAAATAAAAGGTAAATATAACATCTACTTACAGTAGTGGTTGAAATTATAAGACACATTCAAATTTTATACTTCACACGATAAGATTTTAGTCTTGTATGAAATCGCAAACGTTTAAATCATTAAGTAAATGCATGAAACTTAACTTATATAAGAAAACCACTTATTTTGTATTAATATAATTTTCAACTTAATTTTTACTTACACTTTGTAAAAAATGTTATTTTTGAAAATACAGCAAATTTAAGTCATTAATTCATTTTAAAGCTTTCTAAAAAAACTTTTACTAACACCCAACTGCGTAATTTTTTTTCTTATGTTATTTATATAATTAAGTTTGATGAAAGACATTTTCAAGTGGATCCAGTTAAAAATATTCAATCCACAGGAAAATAATGAGAAATTTTAAGCAACGTAAAATAGCTATTTTTGGTTATTCTTTGGTAATTTACTGTTTACTGTACTGATAGAGGGACACTTAATACTAATGCTTCGATGGCGTTGATATAAACAAATAATAAATTATAAATGAGAGCAAGTCATGGGTTAATTTAAACGGCTGATGATAATGTTGAATATTGAAAGGATTAATTGAAATCAAATGCAAGTAATTGACCAACGTGTACAATATGCTGTGAACGGTACTGTAATGTATCCCAGAAAAACAAGTAGACCCAAAGGCGATATACTGAGAGCTCACAAGGATACAACAATCGCAAACGTGATATTTTACTTTTTACAACAAACAAAAAACAAAATTATAGGCTCGTAAGCGCCATAGAGCTTATAGCTAATACACACTAAGATGGCGGTGACAATGCAGATATAAAGAGAATACTGACAATAACTAAGTGTAGAACAACGATAACATATATAATCAAAATACATAATTCCACGACAACACATTCGACCGATTTTTATCCAACAGAATCCATTTGCATTACCAATAATAGGTAGAAAATCTGTACCAGAATCTATAAACTGGCAAATAGTTGACTTTAAAAAAGTAGTGATTTTAACAAAATTTTGAGTTATCTTTATAAGTTTACTTTTAATAGAAATTATATAAGTTCCTGATCACAAATCAATCTAAAAAATACAATTTTTACAGCTCCATAAAATTATTAATTAAATATTATATTCCATAAGTTGGCTATGCTCGTTTTCTTTTTTTTTATGGTGTCATGTAACTGCATTGTCATGGTGAGTAATTCGGGAGCACCATGAGTAATTTCAATATTTGTGTGTATGATTATACACACAAATATTATGATTATGACAATAAGTGTCTTAACCCTCACTTTTTGTTTTATTGTTTTTTAAGTGTGATCTTGTTTTATACGTTTTATCTTGTGTTAATAATATCTTTTAATTATTACTTTTGTGTCATTATTGAACTTTTTTTCGTTTCTTTTATTCTAAGTAACAGAATTAAAGTTTTTTCATTAAAACACGGCTGGGACTCTATAGGACACGTCCTTGGTAGTAACTTAACGAATAATTTATTTCGGTAATAGTTGAGTACTTAATACTCTTTTGAATTATGTATGACACTCGTGGACATACCACTTGGTAGTATTTAAAAAGTACAAGGTTATCTTAGTCATTAAAAACTCAAAGATTTGTATATTTATAAAGCTAAATGTTGTTAAAGATACAATAGTGAGACAGGGTTATTATCCGTTGTAGCCAATATTAAAGTTTCAACATGTACTCTTACACGCTCTATAGTATTTTTAAAGTCTTTATCTTATCAAAGGATATATTTTAAAGAATTCTTTATCAATTTCTAATAGTAATAAAAAATAAAAATAAAGATAGCTATTGTACATTTAGACTTAAAGTAAATACACTAAAAGTGAATGACTAACAACTTCATCATTTTGTATAAAAGAAATTAAACATCGATGCACAATGAATATTTTGTATAAATATTGTTTCTAACTATTCAAGAGTAAATTTATAAATTTATAAACAAAACTGAATATTTTTAAAAGAGTAGCTTTTGATGCTTTTTCATTTGTAAATACAGCTGAATTTAACATCAAATCAAATTGCGTACGTTGTAACATTATTATGACCATTGTTTTAATACTTGTTGGTAAATCTGAACATTCTTCATCATACAATTTAAAAGCTAAATTCCTGTGCTATTAAAGAAAAAATTTTGAAATCTATAAATTAGATTTTAAATACATATATATATATATATATAATTTTTTTTATAATTGTGAAAAATAACATAAAACATATTTTAAATATAACACTATATAGTAAAAATTTATTAAAAAAAAAAAAAGTATAAAAATGTAACTCATAAGTTATTTGAGTTGTTAGTTAGATCTATTCTA